TCTGACAGTGTGTGCAAAGTCAGAGACCATTCATTTATTTTGTTTTCAGTCAAAACGGCCATAAAGTAAAAGCTAATTTTTCAGGAGATATTTCTGAGGAGATTACATATAAGACAATTCACTTGTATAAGTAAGGGGGAGGTCAAAGAAAAAACAGTGAAAAACAGGAGTTTCCAAAACTGGAATACAAAATTATTAATAGTTACTGAGAAAATGTCACTGCTAACAACCATGCAAGACCTGGTAGACCAACAAAACTGTCACCATCAGATAAACTGAGCTTTCATCTCTGAGAGAGAGAGGAGAAAATCAAGCTCCACTCTTCCTGCAGATCTGAGAAAATCTACTATTATTTACAGAAGATGACTGCTTCTGTCCATCCTTCCACTGTGAGAAGACAGCTCAGCACTATGAGTCTGAAAGGATGTACAACTGTCATGAAGCTGTTACTGAGAAAAGAACATCATCTACAAATTAGTCAAAACCTAGAGGCTGCTGGTTTTCTCAGAACAATGGACTGACCACCCCAGAGTCCAGACCTCAACATCACCGATTGGATTACTTGGATTGCAAGAGGCAGAAAATGCAACCAACTTCTAAGACTAAACTTTGGAGGTGTGGAAAAATCCCTGCACATTTCTTTATAAAACTGAAAGCAAGTCTCTTGACAAGAATGGAAGATGTATAAAGGCAAAGAGTGGACACACAAAATACTGAACAGTTTTATATTATGCTTAATGTTGAAGGCTTTTGTGTAATTTTCTGTTAAGTATACACTGAAAAATGAATAACTGGTCTCTGGACCGTTTTGCACAGAAGGGTTGCTGACTTTTGCACAGTATTCTGTAAGTATCCAAGGCTAAAATTAGCTTCAGTAACAAGTAACAGTTTTCCTATAAAATCAGAACACACAAACACACTCACTCCTCTCTCTGACCATAATACGTTGTGTTTGCTTTGGAGCCACACCCTGAAAGCAAAGCCAGACTCTGGCAGCGTGTCCATATGAGCTCACGGATGCGTGCGCATGATTCTAGCATCATGATGTTGGCACACTCGCGCCACACCCAGTGGCGTGGTACACACACGCGCACGCACGTTTCCTCATTTGCAATTGATCTGGCTCTTATCTCGTCGGTAATCTGTCTGCTTGTTCTGGCCAGTGCAGGGATTGCCTAATGATCTATTGATCTCAGCATCGACCTCAATCAGCAGCAACAGGACAACAGCACAGAGGCACCCACTGACATTCACACCCAGCTCCAATCTCCCCTCTTCCACATTCTCCACCACTTTATCCTCCTGCCCTCCTCTCCCCTCCTCTGCCTTTCTCCTCTCCCATCTCTGCTATCTCTTTCTCTCTGCTTGCTGATCTCTCCTATTTGCTCTGCTCCACAGAGATTAGACATTACTGTGCTTTTAACATCTGGCTCCAAAGTTATTAATGCAATTGGCTAACTCTGTTAGGCTGACAGAGCTCCAAACCCAGCTCACGTTTTCCTCCTGGCGATGCAGGCCAAACAAGGACATGAGTTTATTACTATGAGTAGTAATCTGAGAGTTGTAACTGTGCACAGTCATGCTAGGCAGTGTTCACCAAGCAGTGAAAAGCAGGCAGTAGAGCTGTTTTTGGGAACAGATTTTGCTACGGAGTGAATAATTGTTTAAGTTAGTGTAAAAAAAAAAGTATAGGGTCCGAAGACAGGTCAGTACTTCTATCCGAGAGAATAGCGCCATCTATTAAACTGTGCTTTTTGGTTGAGTTTGCTCACTTTGCTAACCTTTAATTTCCTCTCCACTGAGTAGTAAGTTTTATAATGTAACTCCTGTTAATACAAAAGGGGAATTTGCTTTGGGTTGGCTGTTCAGAAGTGCTGTCCTGGTATAATTAGAAGCATTTTAGCCAGAACCAACCAGACAGAAAGATGGCAAATTTGATGTCTCTTGTTGGAAATTCTAAAACAATGCAGTCACTTGAGGAGTCAACATGAGGATTGTTTGTTTTGTTTTGTTTGATGATGATGGAGTAGAAATAGTGTAAAGCTCACCTGCAGTTTTCACTGGCTCTGTGTACCAGCATAGTTGACAGATTACATCTCTTAAAATAATCTTTTACAGAAAATGGTAATTAAGCATACACTGATATGGAAATTGTGGGACGAAGCTAATTTCTCATATGTTTCATGTAAATATTTGCTAATGCTGATACATAAATGTTTATAAAATATAGAAATTCTGACTGCATCTGTCTGGATTGAAGCATTATAGAGATTTATTTGTAGAGAGTTATAAATGCAGTAAAACAGGGATATTTCAGTGTTTTAGTCCAGTATCACCTTAACCTTCTGCTTTTCTGGAGTTCAGTAAACACAGTATCAAATATCGCTTTGAAATATCGATCAAATCTAAAAATCTGTCCGAAACAGTTTTTTTAAAAACCAAGGATCTGCCAATACTGATAGGATTGCACTACCATTATGCCTCCAAAATGATAATATTTATGTTATGTTTGACACAAGGTAAGTCGTTCTTAAATACCTCTAGAACCTTAGAAGAACTTAACCACTTTGTATTGTAGTTCCTGTAGTTTCTGAATAACATGCCTTAGAATGTAATAAGCCTGATGTTGAGGGAATCAGGGTTACTAATTTCACATTTTCACTTGAGTGCTTGTACCAGTGAAATTGAAATCGCTTGTATTACTCCTATCACCACATTTCTAAGGGTCTCCAGGCCTGTGCTTGAGAGATGTGTGTAAGTGTGGCTGTGTGTGAGCAGGTAAAGCCTCTCTCCACACCTCCCAATTCTCTGTTGAGTCTGAGGGAGATTCTTTACCAGCAGGAGGAAATGACCTGGTGTCAAAAAGTCTGAAGCTTTATTGGAAACATTTCTGTAGCCTGGTTTCTCAGAAGTCAGTTTGATTACTACTGCTCTCTCTGACCAGAGGGTGGGATGTATTATTGTACTTTTGTACAATAGGGGGTGGGTGTATGTGCTTGAGAGTGTGACCTGTGTAGCTGAACTCACAAACATGAATAAACAAGTTAATGTGAGGATTATTGCTGTTTGTGTGCGTGCTTGCTCGAGTTCAAGTCTACGTCTGAAGGGGCTAGAGTCGGATGCGTCTGTGTATGTGTTAGGGAGAGGAAGATGGACTCATACAGCAAGTCTGGGCACAACTGTTTGATACTGGCAAGAGAAGAAAGCCCTGGCATTCTGGGAACTGCATGAGTAGCTTACGTTATGAAATGTCCAAAATCCCCACCATCTATACAAACACACAGTCAGTGTGGCTCATGCAAGCTACTCTGCAGTTCCAGAGTTTGGCACTGGTAATGCATAGGGCTGCACCTAATGTTTGTTTCTCTAATCAATTGATCTATCAACGATTAGCTGATTAATCGACTATGCCTTCTGCCATTTTCTCCCCCTTTGCCCAGGTCCAGTTCCATCTGTGTGATAAATGATTTCATCTTTTTATGGTGCAACTAAACAACAGAAGCTAACACCAGCACTTCAAGTAATGCAGTCTGTCAGAGTGGCTGTGTATATGTATGATATGAACATTACAATGCATGCACGTCCCCAGCGGTGAAAGCGGCAAGCCGGAAGTCATTTGGTTTCAATGAGAGCCAGTGATGGCAAGTGGCAGGCAGCGTAGCGAGTGTTCAGTGCAATGCGAGTGATCTAAGCGACAAAATGAAGTTTTGTGCAAATGAACAGTGAAATGATGCGACGATAACCAGTACCCAAAGATGTTCTTACGTGTCATGGAACACACTGCATAGACTTTGGTTTCTGTTTCTTCTATTTTACATGAAAATAGAGAAGTTGATTATTGCTGAGGATAGTTCAGAATTATTAAACAACACTATCCCTCCAGAACATTAATGTATAAGCATTGTGCTCATTTGTTAAAAACATTGGCAGAATTTGATGAAATTAAAATAACCCGTTCAGTTTGTGAAAACATTGTTTTTGTTTGAGAGAGATGACTGCTCATTGTTGAAAACAGAACTAATTAAACATTTTCCAATTTAACAATTAGAACATTTTTCTTAATTTCTGTGATGAACATGAAATTGAAATGTTTAGTCTTTAATTGATAGCTTATTAGTAAATGATGGCTATAGGCTAATTGCCTTAATCAGTGCATTGATATTGAAATATGTGGTGAAATATGCTTTGTTGATGCACATGCATTACATGATCTGTTTAGTTAGATTGTGAACAAAGTGAGATTAGGATAGTTCAGCCTACTAGAGATTTCCTGTCAGGTGGAGCATACACTGGGAAAAACTGAGAGAAGTTCAATATTATCAATTTGTCTAATATAATCTATGTAGGCTGACTGCTAATTTGGTTGGTTCCTGTTACTAAAAATGTATGTTGCATGACCAGACAATTTGTTCAGACTTGCTGCCTGCCTACGCTCGATTCGGAATGCCTACCAATGACCGATCACCTGCTGGACGGGCAACAAAGAGCAGTTTAATCACCACTTACTGAGTATTATAGAGCATCACATTTCTGCTGTTTGCTAAAGTCAGTATCATCACTAAATACCTGACTTTGTTGAATTATTGCAGCCCTAGTAAACTGTTCAGTCCACTGATATGTAGTGTACAGTACCTGCTGGCTCTTGGCTGTGTGTTCACTTTGGAACAGCCACATGCATTCAGGAAGGACAACTCTTGGCCAGCAGTTAGAAATGGTGGTAAAGGAAGTTCACCTAAACTTTCTCTCTCTCTCTCTCTCTCTCTCTCTCTCTCTCTCTGTCTCTCTTTCCAGAGTCCATTCCATCTGCAGGCAGATTGGAGGTGGCAGAAAAGGGCCTCCTCATTGCTGAGAGAACAGACGCCGCTGCAATTAAACCTGACACCACCGTTTAGAGCCTTACACATACTCCTGTGAGGGCCTACTGGCAAGCTGCACTCAACTCACATGGGTACACAGAGAGAGCGAGAGAGTGGGAGGGAGAAGGAGAGAGAAAGAGGAAGGGGGCTGGATGGATGGATGGATGGATGGATGGATGAATGAGATAGAGAGAAATGCCCCAGAGCACAGTAAGAGGCTAGTGTTTTCAAACATGCCACAGCACAGCTGACCTCAGCCTTGCACTGACAGCACCAGCTACACTCAGACACACTCTCAGATCGTGTGTGTGTGTGTGTGTGTGTATATGTGTGTGTGCGTGTGAGCAGCAAGAATGTGTGCTTTTTCTACATTTTACATTCATTGACGCTTGAATGTGTTTGAGAGAGAGAGGAACTAAGAGTGACAGAGTCAGAGTCAGTTTGTGTGTATGGTTGTGCTTTAAGCTTGTATAATAGGGAACAGATACCATGCATGTCAATTTCATGGAAAACTTCTCTGAAATAAGAGACTGTCCTCAGAAGCAGAAGACATTTAACAGAAGATTACCCAGAAACCTCAACAACTGAATATATTATTGGTCAGTATGTAGTGGATTCACACTTTCCCTTTATTACACCTTGCCTTCTTTTCAGGACACTTGCTCTCAGTTTTTCAAAGAAATCTGCAGGGATATTTTTACTTGTTCCGTGAACGTCCAAAGTTCAGTCTTTTGCTGAAGTTGGTTGCATTTTCTGCTACTCATGGTCCAAGTAATCCCAAACACATTCACTGACTCATCAGTCTATAAAACCTTACTCCACATGTCTTTTGCCTGTCTCAGTACATACATGCTTTCAGTTTCATCCTTTCAAGCTTTGAGTTCAGTTTATCTGATGGTGACAGTGTTGGTGGTCTACCAGGTCTTGCACGGTTGTTAGGTGTCCCATTTTCTCTGTATCTTTTCAATTTTTACCCGGTTTTCTTCCCAATTTAGTCTTTGCCAATTCCACCCGCTAGTTAGGACTCCCCCAATCGCACACGACGCTATCAACGCTAGGAGGGCGAGGCTAACACAGGCTTCCTCCGAGACCTGTGAAACCAGCCACCGCATCTTTTCGAGCTGCCGCTCACGCAACGTCTTTGGACAGCTGAACGCGCTCGGAGGAAAGCGCCAACCGCCAGATCTGTTACGTCAGCTAACAGATGCCTGCGCTGACTAGCATCGCGCTTAGTGAGTGATGGGGGGAGAAAGGCAGCCATCCCACCCACCCAGAGAGAGCGAGGCCAATTGTGCTCTCTTGGACTCCCGGCTACGGATGGCTGTAGCATCACCAGGGATCGAACTCGCGATCTCCTGATGATAGGGCCAACGCTTAGACGGTTGCGCCACTCGGGAGCCCCTTTCTCTGTATCTTTTAATCATTTTATGGAAACTCCTATACTTATTTTCTTTTGACTTTCTTCTTACGTATGCAGGTGGAATATCTTACATTTAATCTCATCAGAAATATCTACTTCAGCCATTTTAGATGGGCATGAGAAAGAAATCCGCAGGGTAGTTAAGGTGAGTTTGAGTAGTTGCTTGCGTGAATGTTAGGATCTTGTTGAAGAGGAACGTACAGTATCAGCTTTGGGAGCAGCTTTTTTGAGAGGAGCTGAACTGTTTTGAAGATCAGACTGATAGAGTTAAAGTGGACGTACACAAAAGTAAAGAGTGAACAATTTAAATACTGGTTTGATATTAAACTTAGTGTTGGAGGTCCCCACCGCTTGTACTTAATGACCTCGAAATTGCTAGAAATTAAAGAATCAAAAGGGTGGTCTTTGACTTTTGCACAGTAGTGCATATTTATTGTTGAGCCTACTGCAGTTTAGCCCACTCACACTGAAGTTAAGAAGAGTGTTTCAGCCCAGACTGTTTTTTGAATGAGGCACAATACAGGACAGCCAAACAGAACAGAGATCATTTGCATATCTCACTCTTGAAAGCAGCAAAACAGAAACAGCTTGCTTAAGAAATAAATATATGTTGGAAAATGATCATGTTGGACTGTTTTTAGCACATGAACGTCCCAGGAATGGACCTCACAGAGAAAAAAGAGAAGACTTCCATTCTTTCTGGAAAGAGCTATGAAAAGTCATCTGTGATGCTAAAGATGGATGAAATCGAAAGAGAAAGAAGCGAGGGAATGTACGGGAGTCACTGAATGAGAGTGCGCGTTGGCGACTGTGGCAGATTACTGTTTGTGAGCGTTGTGGGGGTGTGTGTTACGGTTGTGATTTGTGCGTGTGTAATAGGGTGGAGATTCTATGGATGACTCTAAGTCTTTATTAGGAACTGCTCACAGTAAAAGACTTGTGAAAAGAACTGTAGGCTTTTACTACGATTATGAAAAGCCATCTGTGATGGCAGAGATGCTGATCTAAACTCATAGTTGTTCCCGCCTTTTATGGTGTATTTGTGTGATATCAATGTGCAGAGATCATTGCAGTTTGGAAAGCAATCTCTCTTTTTCTCTCTCTTCCAATCCCTCCTGATGGGTTTTACAAGCTGCCAATAATTCGTTGCCATTGCAAGAAGCTGCAGCCCACTCCCCCCCTTTCTCTCCCTAATACTAAAAATAATTTAGTGGCATCGGGAGAGGAAGCCGTTTTATCCCTAAATCTGAGCTGATGGGGGCTGGGGGGTTGGCATGGGGTGTATCGTATGGAATTAGACTGTGACAATCTCAGGGCCTATCTCAGTTCAGCAAAACACTGCTGTAATGCAATCACCCCACCCCCTACACTACTGCTAAAGCAGCTGCATTTTGGTGGCTTTAGTGCACTGTATGAAAACCTCACCATGAACCTGACGTCCTTCAGCCTGCAAATGCTCGACATCACACAGCAGCTTCAATGCCAGGCGCGAGATGCACTTTCTGAACGTGATGCAAATAACCTGTGACTGCGTTCAAACCCCACTGCGATCAATCACAAACACATCACATTCTGGCACCCTCTTCGCACGCTGTTCTATCAGTCAACACAGCAGATGATAACTTCATGTCGTTATGATTTATTCGTTTACGGTGACACTCCGTTTGGACGGTAATGATCGCCACCGTGCCCAGCAGGGACTTTATTGTTGACGTGACAGCGACAAGCTATTAGGAACATGACCAGAGGGCCCCATGCGCGGGCCTAGATTGAAACGAAGGAAAACAGAGGCTGTTAATTTCAATAAAGCCTGTGTGTGTGTATTGTGTATATATGTGTGTGTGAGAGAGAGAGGAGAGGATGCAGGCAGCAAATGAGACGGGCAATGAGGGAGTGGATTAGGGCCAGTTGGACCGTGTGATCACACGTGTTTTGGGGGAGGGTGTTAGGAAGAAGGTGCTGAAGTGGTGAGAGAAAAGGTGGAAAAGAGGTGATGGAGTGGGGAGGGATGAGAAAAATACTTCAAGTGTCACACATTTTTCTGATAAAGTGAGACAACGCTTCTAGGATCCCATTTGTTTCATAATATCAGTTACTGGTACATTTAGACTCCATTTAGAGACCTCTCTGCTTGGTTCAAACAGGTCTAGGTTTGTTGAAATGTCCTAGCTTGGCCAGCTTTCAACTACAAACTAATTTTGTAGCATGATTTCTTACAAATGCCACAAGTTGAGTAAATAGCAGCCAGTGATTATGCAATCTCAAAAATGCTTCTGCTTGAGTTTTATCTTATCAACAATGACGACAGACTCTACAAGCAAAAGCTCCATTACTGGTGTAATCTTGCATGTAGCTTCTTTAAAAGGCAAATGAGATAAGTGGGCTGGAAAATGTTTTTTGTGTATTTAGCCATCTGACATTTTTTTTTATTATTATTAGTCCTGTATTTCAGAAGCTGCTTTAGCTGCTGTGGCTAACCACAAGTGTTCTTGCAAAACTTCTTATCCAGCCCAGATTTCTAAATTACATATATGCATTAAATTTGTGCTCACAAGGATCTTAAGTTAGCAGAATTTTCTGCTTAATGAAATCAAAAGATAAGAAATGAAACTTTACTAATCATTTGTCTGTCATTTGAGTGGAGTGGTTGAATTCTTCAGATCACTGTAACGCGAGCTTATCTTGCAAATGTGGGTGGGTGGAGGGCTTCACAGAAAGCAGCTGTAGGCACAGACTGGTGTACATCAGGCTTCACAATGAAATACGTGTTGCCATTCTGGAGCTGGAAGAATCCCCCTCATCTCTATTGTCGTTAAGGCACACGAGCATGAAGATTCAGGAGAGCAGGACACTGATGAAGAAAAGCTCAGCAGACGTAATGAATCATTCTAATTGTCTACAAACAATATATAAAGTGGGCATTAATTATAGCAGCCGGAAATCCATGGCAGCGAGCGAGGAGTGTGGGCTGGGAGAGGGATTATGGAGGCCCAGTGTGGGCTCTGAGCCCCTCGCAGTTCGTTTGGTTTTTCTGTTTTTTGGTTTCCTGGTGTGCCTTAAGTGTCATGGAGTGATTCCACAGCTCTCTAGCTGCTCCAGCACTGCCTCTACATCACTTGGTTTGGAGGTTCCCTTTAGTGTTTGATGATCATTGTAAATCAACATTATTGATGAGTAAGGAACATTTATATGGATGTTAACATTCTGTTCCATAAAATGGAGCCATACCTGTTGTCGTGTCCCTTGTTGTCTTTAATTCTGTTTTTACGCATGGTGTCCAAGACGTGACTGGTAACTGCAACATGTGTTATTTGCTGCGTGTATGGGTGGGTGATAAGACAATATTGTGTTGCATTGTATTGTTATAGCTTATGTTGCATTAGACCACAATAAACCTTTCTGAGCATTGTGGATATTAGTACTTGCACAACACTAAACAGCTGCATGTTTTAGTAAAAAAGAGAGCCTAATTGATCTTGTTTATTTAGATGTAAGGCAGTGCAGTATGCAAAATATCAAATAAAAATCATTGATAGTATTTTTAAAAGTGCCACTATTAGAGGCATTCTGTCTGTTCCAAACAGAGATGGAGACTCAAGTCACATGTTGACTGACTCACAGCTTTACTCAGAATTACTTTTAAATGACTCGTGACACAAAGGGAAATTTAAGTCTGAGAGAAAAAAAAATTGTACCTCCAGCCTTAATGCGGTGAATGAATAAAACCTTCCACTTCCTGTCTTCCATACGGCCTTAGAGAACAAGTCTTTTATTACAAAAAACCTTTAGT